TCTTAGCTTTGAGACTTTTCTGAATGCTCTTGGTGAGTCATGGGGGCTTTTGAGCACTCTTGCACTTTGATCCATGTTGGGATTACTACCCTTTGGGCTTGGAGGATCATCTCCTTCAGGAACAATCACTCTTCTTGGACTCCAATTCCCCTCCCCTCCAGGACCTCAGTGCCTCCCCGACTAGTCTCCTTAGCTCAATGAAATCCACCCTCTTGAAGTCCAGGGCTGCTGTCTTGCTGCAGGCCTTTGCCACCCTGTGCTGGATGGTGAATTTCAATAGGTGATGATCACTATTGCCCAGGTGATCGAGCATCTGCAGTTCCCTCACCAGGTTGTCGCTTGTGGCCAGGACCAGGTCTAACAAGGCATTTCCCCTGGTAGGACTGTGTACCTCCTGGGTTAGATGGAGGTCCTGTAACACTGCTAGGAATCTATGTGAGTGGTCAGACCTGGTTGACTGCTCTTCCCAGCAAATGTCCAGATAGTTTAAGTCACCCATGACGACCACATCCTTTGACTTAACTGCCTTCCCAAGCTGACCTGAGAATTCCCGGTCTAGCTCTTCCCCCTGGTTGGGTGGTCTGTAATAGACCCCCACCGTTTAGTCCCTTTCCCCCCGATCCTCTTGTATTCTGACCTAGAGCACTTCAGTCTGCCCCTCCTCTGACCCAGTGCTGCTCACTGAGGATGTGAATTGTTCTTTGACATAGAGCGCTACACCCCTGCCTTTCCTCCCACCACACCCCAACTTATACTTAGGTTAAAAGCAAAGTACAGACCTTTGTCACGGGGTGGGCAATTATTTTGGCTGAAGGGCCACTTAAACAGTTTTGGTGAGCAGTTGAGGGTAGCCCTGTGACAGATGCCCTGCCCCCTGGCCACCATCTTGGGATCAGAAGTCCCACCCTCTAACCCCTGACCTCTGCCACCAAAGGTCCCTCCCTTTCCCCCAGAAGTACTCCATTCAGGAAGGAGGCTTGCCATCATGGAACTGGAAAAAAAGCCAAAATATATACTAAAAAAATCAAACATCCACAATAACATATTTTAATTTTATTTAAAAAAAATTTTTTGTCCTGATTTGTGTTTGTATCGTGTATATAGAGGTGATTGTATAATACCTCAAAATAAACTATTGCGCTTGTATATTGCTGGGGTGTGAAGGGTGAGGGCATATTGGTAGGTGGGTATGGGGTTTGTGGGGGAATGTGAGGGTGTGTATGTGAATGTGTGTGTATGTGGGGTGTGGGAGCATGTGTGGATGTGGGTAGGTAAGTATGGGGGCATTTGTGGGGGGATGTTTGTGGGGATGTGGGGTGTGGATGGATGTGTGGAAGGGGAGGGTGGCTGGGGGTGTAGGGGTGAGGTATGCATGGATGTGTGTGGGTGCATGTGTGTGGTGGGGGGTCCTGACCTGGCATGCCCCATACCTGCTCCAGACTCACCTGCTTATGCTAAACAGCAGCAGCAGCAGCAGCAGCAGCAGTGCCGGCCAGACAGAAACTGCTGCAGGGGGGAAAAGCAGCTTCTCCCCCTTGCTGCTGCCCAGATCTCCCTGCTTCAGCTGCTCAGAGCCTGCGCTGGGTTACCCTGAGGCTCCTGTGCGCTGCTACCCAGCGTGGGCTCTGGGTGGCTGTAGCAGGAAGCACTGGGCAGCAGTGAGGGGGAAGGGCCACTTCCCCCCATGGTGAGCAGCAGTTTCTGTGCAGCCAGCACTGCTGCTTTTAGCATGAGCAGGTGAGTCCAGAGCAGGTGTGGGGCGTGCCAGGTCAGGGCTGTGGCGTGGGTCCCCACCAGTACCATGAGGATGAGACCAGCAGCAGTGGAAGATGGAAGAAGCTGCCACCACCTGGTCTGCCTAGAAAGGCAGTCCAGCTGCAGAGCCGCCCCAGCCCTGCTCCATGCCCAGGGGGCAGCAGGACACACCATGGCCAGACAGTGCCTGGGGCAGGTGGGACCGAGGGACCCGCTGCAGGTTGTATTTTGCCCGCGCCTGGTTTAGTAGGTGCATCAGTATTTCATTTCCTTGAACGAAAAATCAAGTGTGCTGATGTTCCCAATGGTACTCAGAAAACTTAGGTTCGTGAAGGTTCCTTGCTCCTTGGCTTCAGATAGTCAAATTTGGGGGCAGAAAATAATTTTTCCTCTAGGTCACAATGGCAAGGATAGTGGTGGGGTATGTGTGTGCATGGGAGGTGAGAAGAGATTGCCTCTATAGTTTGGGGCATGACAAGGAGCCTCCTTTAAGGATCCTGTAAGCATACAGAAACTAATTATTTCTCTGCCAGTACTGGCAGTGCCCTCACCTCCCATTTTTAGTCCATAACATTCTGCAGGGTGTTTCAGGCATTGTGCCTTATAGCTGTATGTAAAGACTATAGTGTTGGGGATTTTGGGGATTCCTGGAATAAATGTTTGCCTGAAAATACATATGGGACTGGACTTGATGGTTCAGGAGGCTCCTTTCAGTCCGATTTTTCTACACTCCTAATTCTTTTCACTCCCCATCAACCTCTTTCCTGATTCTGGATGGAAGCTGGGCCAACAGTATGCCTTTTGGTTCATTCAGTCAGACCCTTTGCATTTTGCAGAATGACTCAATCATTTCCTTTAGCCTTACTGATTCATAGATTGTGAAGATTGGAGAGCACAGAAACCATTTTGATCACGTCTTACTTTCTGCATGATACCGGCTGCACAACCCTCACCTGGTAACTTGTGAATCCCAACACCCTGTGGATGAACAAAAGCATTTCATCTTGCAAGACTGTTCTCCATCTATCTAAACTGCAGGTGAATAGCTGGAAAGTTTGTGTCTCCAGAAAAAACTCTGCATTAATCCATTCCAGTGACCAAACGGTCTTTCTTGTTGAGATCTTCTTCCCTAATAATTAGACTAAGTGACTCTTTCCTCAGCTTCAAACCATTCAGTCTGAAAGCTTACTATCGCCTTTCAAAAGGGTTGACTAACTCCCTTCCAGGTATTTACGTCTCTGAGCTTTTGTTGTTTCTGTTCTTTCTTCTTTCCTGTCACCTTCACAGCAACTGGGAAGATTTTTAATATAACCAGAGTGAGAAAGGAGAAAAAGCTGCTCCGTCCCAGCAGCTAGAACAAGATAAAACTGGACAGAGCTTGACCTCCAGTTGGAGTCTGAAACCAAATGATGGACCCTACTGAAGTTCCAGGTGCAGCCCCAATGAGAAATCACGGTATGCGTCAAGAAGGCCAGGCACCTTTAATCCCCAGCAAAGTAGATAACACTCAATTCTAAATTATTTCATAAAACACACTAACAAAATGCAAAAGAAAGGATGATCTTGTGAATAATCAGGGCCTTCTGTCAATATTCCTATACCATCCTGGGCAAGTCAGTTTGCTTCCCTGCATATTAGGTTTCCTGTTTATAGAATGAAGATGATAATATTCGTCTACCTCACAGGAACACTGCCAGGATAAATTATTCACGTATGTGCAATATTCAGTTCAATGATGATAAACACAATAGGGAATAAAGCCTATAAATAATAAAAAGTACCCGTTGTAGTAACTCACTTGAGTCTACTTCTCATTTGGAAGACTTATCTAAAATTCCCTATTTATTGTCCAATTTTTGATCTACGCATAGTTTTAGTTTGGTTGTTATTTATCCATTTCTTTACATTATTTACAGCCCATCAAAAGTGAATGAACCACTCTCCAGAACACAGCTTCTAAACTCACTCTGATATGGTGCTATATCAGTTGCTTTACTGAATACAGTCTACATCGCCACTGAACCCCTTTATCTTCTAGGTCAGTAATGACATCCAACAGGGCTTACGGTCTACCTGGCATATATTTCAGAATAACGTTTGTCTATTACTAAACATCTTTCTTCCAAACATTCAAATACTGGCTCCACTACATGCATGAATACTGTGGTCAGGCTCAGCAGATTCACTTGTTCAGAAGTCTCCTTGTTTTTCTTTGATGCCCTTCTTAGCAGCGGGTACCTAACTTTATCTCTTTTCCAGTCAGGTACATCTCCTAAATCCTATGATTTACTGCTGTTTATTCCCAGTGGTTCCAAGATTTCCTCTTCCAATTCTTTAGAGATGAATTCTCAGGTGCATTTCATTCAGCAGGATCGGTAGACAGAATTTTGTCAAATCTTCTTTCATCATTTCTTTGCTTTGGTTTCGACAGCTGATGTCTCTTGCCAAATTTTCCTACATATAGTTCTTCAGTTTCCTCATATTTTAAAATAATGATAAGAATTTTTGTAGTGCACTTTACAAATATTAAACAATTAATCCTTGTTATTCTCAACCCCATTCTACAGACAGGAAACAGGCACAGAGGTCAAGCAATTTTGCTTCAAGCCACATTTCTAGCCCCACATCTGTCAGTGATTTGCTTACAGGAGCTCTCAGTTCCATGCTCAAAGCTAGACTGTCCTGGTGGTTTCAGCTGATTTATATAACGTATGATTTACCATCCTGTAGGTACAATCTTCTGAGTCCTTTTGGATGTTCTGAAGTTGGGAGAAAGAATGATAGTGGCAGGAATAAAATGAACAAAAAAAAAAAGGGACAACAGAAAATCCCAAACAGGAAACAGCAGCCCCTAAAACTATCCAGATGGTATCTGTGACCTTTGTACTCTGAAGTTGTCTAGTACTGTCCCTCAGTGACAGCTGCAACAGTGCCAGCAGAATGACCAACGTCATGCACAGGGACACTATAAATGTAGATGAACAGCATTTAATAAAAAAAAATTCCTAAAAATAGGTAGTTTCCCAACCACTACCTAAACCAAAGCCACAGTCCTTCAAGCTACAGAAGAATTTGAAATTTAAAAAACCAAAGTATGTTTCAAAATGGCTACACTAAAGAGCTTTAGCACTTGATAAGAAGATTACAGTATATTCAATTGCACGCAGCAAAAGCCTTTTAAAATAAAGTACAGAAATACTGAAGCTAGGTGTTTGCAACAAGATAACAAGAAGCTAATGGGCTATTTGAGGAGGTGTACCTTGCTGCATTCAGGCTTCCAGGAACCTGTCATATTTTAAAATGAGAATAATGAATACTTTTTTTTTTTTTTTTAATTTC